CCCCAAAACCCCAAAACCCCAAAACCCCAAAACCCCAAAGGGAAGATAGATGTTGAAAATGACTGTATGATATGGTTATTTTTGGGAGAATATATATTTTGGCAACAAACTAGAGATTAAGCCAAGAATTACCTTGATGGGGCTAATTTTCCATTATTGCTTGGGCACCAAAGCATCTCATATAAAAGGATCGACTTAAACTTGTTCTTGGTAATATTTTCATGAAGGTCTTGAATGTTTAGGTTCCTAAGAGTATTAGGAATGTCTTACTTTAGCCTGACCATCAAGTTTCTTCTAGCCCTTCTCATCATCTTAATGGGATCGCAGATTCTGCCAAGATTATCTGCTTTCTCCTCATCAGTCATGAGGATCAATATGTCTTCTGACTTTCAGTTCTATTGCATAGTTAAAAGAATTAATGAATAATCTTTGAGAGATTTTTCCAATTGAGTAGAGATTGAAGTGAGCTTGTTTACCTGATAATTTTTCAAGGCTTCAAATATAAAGAAAATTGCATAGTTATGAACCTTAAATAGAGAGCATTTAGGAAATATAGAGTAAAGGAGTTTGTAATCTTCAGGTAACTCGTGTTTCTCAGTTGCTATAAACTCTACTAGAAGGGGCTTCTCATAGAATTCAATGAATTTTGGGAATGATAGTGTTCTACTTGTCACTTTGTAATTATTGCCTATAAGACAAATGAGTATAAGAGCACAGAAAGTATACAATGGCGCTATGGATATCTCCTACCTTTACAGACAACTCCTAAAATGTCCTTAACAAATTGCTTCATTGCTTTATATATGTTTCATTTTGCATCTGCATGGTCCTAAATTTTGAGAATAAAGCATCACAAGTACTTCGAATAGGGAAAGTATAAGCTGGCCAGCTTCTGTATAATTAATATCTTTATGTAGAAGATTTCTAATTTGGATATATGGGTCAATATCGTAATTGAGATCATCAAAGTCATTCTCCCGCTCAAAAATAATCTTCCTCTGCCCCTGGACTTTGTCGGTGTACTTTATCAAGCAAGTAGCATGCAATTCTAAAGTATATCAACTTCCTTACGATTAAAATTTTTAAGAGTGATCCCAATGCAATCGAAAGTCCACTTCTGGTCATCAGTCATGAAGAAGTAATTTGACTGTGATCTTCCGCCATCCTGAGGACTCTGAGCGCTTTTCCAGAGCTCTTCCAGGAAAATGATTGTCTTTCAGTCCTTAAGTATCCAATAATCACCCATTTGATTGAAAATTGAACTGAAATCAATAGGATTTGACTTGTGTAGGTCTTCTTCAAAGGTAAATTTCCATACATATTTTTCTGCCTTTTCCTCCTCTATATTTAATTTATAGATTCTGTAGTGCAAATATTTACCTGAGGCTTGCACATAATTCTTATTAATCTCTTCTTCAGTCTGGAGGATATTTTTGGATAGCCTAGATACGATCCTTATGACGTTCTCTTCATGCTCATTGCCTGAGAGGATCCGCTTAGTAGCTTTACCAATCTTGACCTCAAATTTATTAATACATTCCTTCGGCAACTTCTCTACTTTTACTGTCTTTCCTGTAGTTTTTATCTTATTTAGACACAGAATTAGTGACCATCTTCTTGGAGGTATCCGATCTGTGAAGAGTATCAAACTCAGCAGCCATTTTGTAAATCTCGATGAGAGTCGGGAAATCGACATCCTTCACAGACCATTTCCATCTTTTCACCAAGTGAATTTTGTAAATATTCAGAAAGACAGCTAGAATTTTATTTACTCTTCTCAAACTTGTCACTTTTGGGGTTAAGGCTCTCAATATCTCTTACGAATGTATGATCATCAAATGAGATATTAGAGTTTGAGATCCGATTCATGCTAGTACTCAGTCTATTTACCACACTTGTCCCAATCTTTTTCTTTTGACTCAATTTATAAAGAGATTTTCCTTTATTCGAATGGCTAATGGCTGAATCAAGATCCGAGATAGATGCTATTTGACTTGATAATTTAACTTCTTTGCTTTCATTCCTAGAACTTTCCTTAACTTCTTCCCAGTCACCTTCCTGACTATCCTCATTAGATTCTTCTTTAATTTCTTCAGAGGCCATTTCACGATATTTGCTACTCTTGGTTTGTTTGCTGATCTGAAGAGCAGACATACTAGGGCTTAAATATTCTTCAATATCATCTTCTCTTGATTGCTTTGATGACCTCTTGGTGCTCCCAACCTCTCTAGAAAGTCCTAAACTAGCTGAGCTTCTGAGAGAGCTTGCTATGGAGGCTCTCAAGCCTGTGCCAATTTCATCTTCAATAAAATTAGACACCTATGATGAATGATTAGATACATACCTCGCGTAGGTTTACATCTCAGCAGTATTCAAATCTTAGCTCTTCGGAATCACGAGAAATGTTTATCTTTTCATTTCTGTCATATCTAAATTAAGTTAGAGTTTGGATAAAGTTGAGTGAAGCAATAGAGTTTAAAGACAATTATCTAATCTACTTAAGCCTTGGCATATCTCCATGCCTATTTTGCTACAATGATAACCCTCCAAGAATTTCTTTGGCTTCAGTACCTGTGTGTATGATAAAATAGTCACAAACTACATCATTGCTGATCCTTCGTGCTAAAGCTATTATCCGACTCATGAGGAGCTAACAACATCTCTACACTCGGAGTTCCATCATCATCTTCACAAGCTTCCCTAATATCTAACTCTATCGTCTGATTAACCTCCTTAAATGCTTCCTCTACAGTATAACCCTAGTCACATACCTATGACATTAACTGCGTCATTCTTGTCAAACACCTATAAAATCCTATTTCAAAATTACAATTCCTTTGAAGCATAAATAGTTCAGCTTAGTGTCCAACCCAAGCCTGAAGGGATAGTCTTCTTCTGAGATATCGCCTGACCGCTTATTGTAGTACTGACAGATTTTGTGCTGAACGCAGTGGAAGTGGAACGCGTGGGTTATTTTGGACCTGAGCTCGAAGTACCAGAATTTAGTGGGCAGGTCGGAAGAGGTGGAGGGAAGTAGGTCTAGGTGAGTTAGAAGGGTGGAGAAGGAGATATAGGGAAGGTAGAGGAGTAGAGAGGGAGTTTAAGGAGTTCTGAGGGTGCATACCTATGTTACAACTATGCTCTGTTAGAGATCTGTGGTAGAAGTTGTCTATGGATTTTATAATTGGCTCTTCTTGTTTTAATTCATCCTTTTTTTCATCTATATTCAACCAATTTATATGTAAAAAGTTGGTAAAAATTGGATAATACACTCTTTGCAAATGTTCATCCTTTATATGAAAGACATTAATTATATCATATTTCCCTCTAACAACAACTATAGATAAATTTGGCACTGCTTTGTTCTCTCAAAACACAAGTACTTAATCAGCATTTCTGGTACTTACGCATAGACTGGTAATATCTTTCAAAAAGAGTTTTGGGAAGCTCTTTTTCACGAATCTTCTCTGGTTGTTCAAATAATGAGTCCATCAGTATTCTGCTGAGGAACGAATTTGATTCTTTACTGTTATCTTTACTAAATTGATGAAATGCTGATGGAGATATCTCTCTTTTGTAGACGCCATAATTCTAAGGAAATGATATCCTTTTCGTCAAATTTCCTGATTGTCTTCTATAAAAGCCGTGTCATTTTGAAAAATTGCAAAGCAAGCTTTTAGCGGCACTAATAACAACTACTTATTTGGACCGAAAAATATTTATCCATAAGTAAAGATATTTCATTTAGAGAATTCTTAAAAGATCAAGTAGTATGCTTCAAAAATAAAGAAAGCTGTAATCTTGAGATCAGTGTAAATTTTGAAAAGATAATATTTTCTGGCTTACATTTCCATCTTCAGAGCTTTCATCACTTATTTTACATGTAACTCCATCATCTATCTGAGAAACAGATAGAGAGACTCCTCTAGAGGTCAGTGCAAAGCAGTACTTAGAGCGAATCATCTGTGAACTAAAAAAGTTATGCATTTGTCTCTTTTCATCCTCCTCTACAACATTAACTAAGAAAATGATGTTATTTCGTTTCCCCCATATTTGATGGGAACAGAAGCATGGACTTACCGATTCTATTGCTGTAGTCCTGATTATTGGCACTTCTACTGTGTCACATCAGTAATCACCTACCTAGTTGATTTTTCAACACCAAAATTAATCTGCTCGCTATCTTTACTTTCCTGGCTCTCTTCCATATCTATTCTTTAAATAATATTAATTTCCAATATTCAAATTTTATCCCGGGGTTTTGGGGTTTTGGGGTTTTGGGGTTTTGGGG